AATGTGGTTGATAAAATCCTTACTGTTCAAAGTTTCAAGTGTTTCTGTCACATATGACAATTATAGCTTCTGTGTAAAGACCATATCTAATATACTAGGCACTATTTATATAGGCATTATTTCATTTGATATATTCAATAACTTTGTGCTTTAGATAGCAGTAGTTCCATTCTGCAATTTGTTAACTAAGACTGATAATGAAGTAAATATCCTTTTCAGGGACACACAGTTCTCAGGGTTAGAAATGGAACTTGTATTTGAAACCATACTTCTGTCTCTAAGATCCATACTACTAATAGTTTACTTCTCTGTCCCTGAAATAGACTTTCAGCTTTCAGTGTGATCCCACTACTTGAAAAGTGTTTATGAAGAAGTCAAGACTGGAATGAGAAGTTATAGTTGTCACTAAAAGGGAGCAGTGTTTGTTGTGATACTAGTGACAGTGGTAGATTTTTTTTTGTGGAACATGGCTACGTCATATGGACCTCACAAAAATGGAGCTAATATCAGACCTGGTTGGATTTTTTTTAATCCATTCCATCCATTTCTTAAAACTTCAACTGTAATAAAAAGGAAGTCTTAGCATTTGCAATAGCTAATTTTTTGTACATGACGTTTTTATTCCACAGGTCTCACTTGTTAATTATGAACAGCAGGGAAAGTAAGAGTTTTAATTTGTTCACATTTTCAACAAAGCAATATAGATTCCAGTGAGAAGTGTAAAATTAGGTTGTTGAATATTTTGTGCTAAATTTCAGACATTTTTCCTGTTGCATTTCTTCCTTCCATTTTTTTTTAACTAAAAGAAGCTCTGGTTTCAACCCCAGCACCACTTAAAATAGCAGGATGACACCTGACTGTAAAGCCAGATACCAATACTCAGGAGTTAGCTGCAGAATGATTAGAAGTTCAAGGTCATCCTCCACTGAGTAGAAAGTTCTAGGACAGCTTGGTAACTTGGGATACATGAGACCTATGAGATCTCTCTCTCTTTCTCTCTTTCTCTCTCTCTCTCTCAGAGAGAGAGAGAAAAGAAGGAAAAGAAAAAGAAGAAAAATATCTATCACAGGAAGAAAGACAAATGAATGTTGCCACAGTATTTTTCGACGTTAATAACCTTGTTATGAGGCCTCCCAGTAGTCTACTGTTGAAATAGCCAGGTAGATTGATGTCCCCCTGGATCTTGGTGGCTATTTAGCACATGAAAGATCAGGCCTTTAATAACATGTACACAAGCATTGACCTCACTTCTTTCACCTCCTTTCATTTTGCTTAGCAAAAGTCATACAGCTTCTTCATACTGGGATATGAATATGTGATGCTTTTTCATTTTGTCATGAAGTTTTTACCAATCTTTTATATGTGTGAGTGTTTTGCCTGTGTGTATGTAAGTGCACCATGTGCATGCAGTGTCCACAGATTTTAGAAGAGGGCATCAAATTCCCTGGAACTGGAGTTAGTGACAACTGTGAGCCAACATGGGTGTCCTGGGAACCAAACCCAGGTCTTTTCCAAAGGCAGCAAGTGTTCTTAACTGCTAAGCTATCTCTCTAGGCCTTCCTTCACCCATCTTAATTGGGTTAGTTTTCTTCTATTCAAGTCTTCTTATATTTTTATCAGATACATGGTTTTCAAAACATTTCTTCCTATTCTCAGGGTTATCTCGTTTACTTTCTTGACAGTGTTATTTTTTTAATTACTTAATTTAATTTGTGATGCTGGAGATTAATCCAAAGCTTTGTGCATACCAGGCAGGAACTCTACCACTCAATACAACAGTGTTATTGGAATGACACCTTTAAAGCTGTCTTGTGTAGTTTTAATCTAGTTTCTTGTGCTTTTGCTGTCACATCTGCATTGACTTCTCATCCTTTAAGACTAAAACAAGTGAATGAAAAGACAAGAGATTTCTACCCTTGAACTTGCATAACTGTCTGACCGTTGAGGCAAATATTTAAAACATTTAGAAGATTACACATCTGGAAGAGGAAACCCGACTCAGCAGAGTAGGCACTGATGATTTCTTTTAATTATTCCTTGGCAATTTTATACATGTTTGTAATACATTATGGTCACACTCCACCCTCTCTTATTTTCCTCACCCCTACAAGGCCTCATTCACCAAGTCCTCATTCCACTTTCACGTCTTTTTGTTTTATTTTATGAAAAAGGGTCTCAGTGTATAGTGCTGTCTGGCCTGGAACTCACTAGGTAGACCAGACTGGCTTCAAACACACAGAGATCCGCCTGCCTCTCCCTCTTAAGTGCTGGAATTAAAGGCATGTACCACCAAGCCTGGCCTCGTATCTTCTTGTTTCATTTTGATTTTTACTTTGTGACTCATTTATTTTACACAGGGCTACTCTCATGGGCATGACAGTGAAGCTATTCACCAGGGCATGAGTAACTTACCAGTGACTAGGTCACTGAAAACAATGACTTCCCTTTCTTCCAGCAGCCCTAGACTGTCATTAGATCACCTGGGTGTGACCCCATGAGCCCCTCCCTATCTGTGGTTGAATGTTTATGGGCTTGGTCTGGTGCAAACCCTATGTAGTCAGTAGCAGCTGTTAGTTCATGAGTGCCATGACTGCATCATATCCATAAGACAGGGTTTCTTGGCCTTCCTCCTTATCTTCCAACACTTAAAGTCTTTCTTGTGTTCTGTGATGTTCCCTGAGTCTTGGAGAAGGTAATATAGATGTCTGTTTTAAGGCTGAACACTGGGCAGTCATTTGTTCTCAGAATTATTACTCATCATTCCAGGGCAATTTTGCCCTCCAGATAACATTTGGCAGTGCCTAGAGAATTTTGGTTAACACGCTTCAAGAGATGATATTTGCATGTAAGTGGGTGGAGGCCAAAGATTCATCAAACACGCTATAATGCATAGGCCAACACTCACAACAAAAAATGATCCACCCCTAAATGACAGTAGTGCTGAAATTCAAGAAGCCACTCTGAAATTAAGAATCTAGGGTTTCACTTAACTCTAAGTGTAAATCTTTGAGTCTGCCTATAAGAACCAGGTAATTGTGTGCTCTTAGCCTAATGGAGAGTAGGAGCCTAACAAGGGCAACAGGACACGGGGTGCTACTGAAGGTAAAATCTTTTAGATTTTATCTGAGGACATCAATCCATACAAACCAGGAAATTTTTTAGAAGTATTTTCAGGAATACTTTAAACAATTGTGCCTTTTAACACAAATTATTTCAGTATCGACTCCTCTAAGTAAAGCTTTGTAAATGCATTCTTATTCTTGAAGCTTTCCTCATTTTCTTCTTTTTTTAGACTTTCTGGAACAAAATATCTGGGAAAACAGTATATATATGGCATGCAGTATAGTCAATCAATCATAACAGGGAAAAAAACAATATAAAAGAAGAAACTCATAGTTGATACATCTCTGAATTAGTAACTTCTCTGAACTCCTAGGATGCTGATTTCTATTTATCCTTCTACTTTCTGTAATACCATGTGCTGGAATGTACTGATTCATTGAAGTTCCAGAAATATCCAACATAAAATATATGATAGCTTGAAATATGTTTCATCCTCTTTAAAGATCTTGGTGTAGAAAAACTTACTAAGCTACAGGTGTTTCTTCATTGTGATAATGCCGCTGATTATTTTGCGTCCTGCATCATTATATGTAATCATTCTACCAGCAACATCACTACCACATCATAGACTAAAATACCTTGATTATAATGTATTAGGCTCTGTTGTAAGCACTTCAAGTGTGTATCTCATTTCTCTTCACTAAAATCCTAGGAAGTAGGGTTTTTTTAACCTCCATTTTGCACATAACAGAAAAATATACAATAAGTGATAAAATTCTTCCTTTGCTTCTGTATCAAAACTATTTCATATTTTCACAATGGAGAAAGTATTTTTTGTTGTTAAACCTTTAACATTGATATCCTTGGTTTTCTTTTTTAATTCTTTTATTGAATTTTTGTATTTCATACAGAATATCTGATCTTAAAGCAAGGAACTCTAGATAGGCTGACTAGATCTCAGTAGATGAACTTGCACTGAGGAATGTATAGTTTTCTTTTTAAATATTTTTATTTATTCTTTGAGAATTTCATACAATTTATTTTGATTATATTCAGATCCCCTCCCATCCCCACCCCCACCTTACTAACTCCCAACTTCATGTCCTCTATTAGATTTATCGAGTGTAGTTTGTTTCCCCCAAATGCTCTTGTGTTTGGGTCCATGCCTTGGAGTCTGGTCAACCTACAAGGTGTCACACCCTTAAAGGACACCGACTCTCCTCCTAACAGTTATCAGTTGCAAGTAGTTCCTCAGCTAAGCTGAGATTTCTTGTCTACCACCCCCAAGCATCCTGAGATTTTCTCTGGCTTGGACTTGCACAGGTCTGTGCATGCTGTCACAAGTACTGTGGGTTCATGTGTACAAGTGCTCTGTTGTATCTGGAAAACATGGTTCCCTCATATTCATCTACCACCCCTGGCCCTTAGAGTCTTTCTGCCTTCTCTTTCATAATGATCTCTGAAGTTTGATCTAAGTGTCCCATTCAGTGCTAAGCAGTCTACAGCCTCTTATTCACTGCACATTGACCAGTTGTGGGTCTCTGTGTTAATCACCATCTGCTACAAGAAAAAGCTTCTCTGGTGAGAGATGAGAGATGCATTAACTTATGTATATAATAATGAGTCATTAGAAATCAGTTTAATGATATGTCCAGTTAGCAGAGTAATAGTAGCAGGTTCTCCCCTAAAGCCCATCAACAATATCGCTGGCTTTCTACTGCACAAAGTAATAAGAATTGAAAAGATTATTTCAAATAATTTTTTCAGAAGAGATATCTTAAAAATAATTATTTGTCGCTGTCAACAAACAGCATATGCCTGGACTCTGAAGCTGCTGTGAAAATTTCCAAACTCTGCTTACCTATATAATTTTAAACTGTACTCCTACGGTATATAAATAATGAAAATATTTTGTTTTGTTCTGTTTGCATCTGTAGGAAGCACTGAAAGAAAACCACAAAAGAAAAGAAATGGAAGAGAAGAGCAGGAGGGCAAAACTTGCAAAAGAGAAAGCTGAACAGGAGAAGGTGGAACGCCAGAAGAAGAAGAAACAGCTCATTGATATAAACAAAGGTATGAAAATATTTTAATTTTTTGAGCAGGCTATGGTGCCACAAGCCTATAAGGCCATCTATTTAAGAGATTGAGGCATGAAGATTATAAATTCCAGACCATTTGGCACAATTTAGACTTTGTCTTAAAACTAAATATATTCATATATATATGCATTCGCTGGCACTTAGCATGTGCAACACCTCCATAACAAAAAAATGAAATTTTTGAAACATGATTAAAGTGCAAAATAATCTTACTTATTTAATGTTTGATTATAAAATAATTTCATTCTTAATAGAAAATTCACATCATTATCAATTTTTATGTCAAATTTTCCTCTTATTGCCATTTGTAATTCTTATTCTACAGTGAAGATTCGAGATTTTTTGGTAATCAATGCAAGGTATTATATTGTTGAAATCACCTTCCTTTCATTAATTTATTACATTATATTCTAGATCAGGCTTGGTGACAGCAACCAAAAAATAAAGAGGTAAAACGTTAAAAAGTCACATGGGAGATGAGATTCTGACCTTGGTTTCACTTTGTTGGCGTGTATCTGTTGACAGTGCCATGACAAGTGTGTTCCTTGGGGACCTGAACATTTCAAGTCATAATGGATTTTGACAGCACTGTTATCAGTTGAACAAAAATATTGCACAACATCTTGCTCAATCGTGAGGTTAAATCCAATGTGCTGGTGCATCCACATTAGTATCCAGGAAGTGTTTTCCAGTGAGCAAGGATAACAGTATATTAGAGGTAGATACTTTGACTTTGGGTGCATTTTTAGAGATGAGAAAATAAAATGTTCAGAATGATGGCACAGACATGTAATCCAGAAATGAGGAAGTAGAGACAAGAGGATCACAAATATAAGGCCACTTTGCCTCAAAACAGATGGGGAGTATTGAGGTGGCGGATGAGCAGAGACAAAGAAAAGTGATCCATTTTCATATATCTACTCTGAAAATTTAAGGAAGGAAAACATAGCCCCTTTCCTTAAGAAAATTTCCAAGCAAACATACTGATCGCTAAATTTTATAGCAGAGAGAAAGAAATCACCTTCTTTACTATAAGGACCAAAGTTTAGAAAATTTTACATAAAAGCAAAATAAAATTGGATCATGATACACAGTAATATGGTTAACATTGGAATACTTGCTACTATATATGTGTGTGTATATTAAAAATTGTAAGCATGTTTTAGGTCAATCCCCATATTTATATGAGGTGAGTACTCATCTCATTTTGTATATAGGAAAAAAAGGGTCATAGAAATTAAGGAAATTGCCCAAATAAAACACAAAAACTAGAATTATCGGTACTGAAATGGAAATGTAGTCTAACTATAGAATGTTTGCACTTACCCTTGCCAATATCAATAAAAATAACATTAATGGCAACTATTCTACAGAATTTTCTGTGTATCAAGGCAGGCAGACAGACAGAAAGAATTATTTTAAAGTATTGATCCATGTGATAACCGAGGCTGGCAAGTCCAAAATCTGTAAGGAAGGCCCGCAGGCTAGAGACTCAGAAAACAGCCAAGTCTTGAGTGACTGGAGAAGAGTTCCCACTTGCTTAAGGGAAAATTAGTCTTTTTCTAGTATTTGGATCTTCAACTGATGGAACGAGGTCCATTCACATAAGGGAATTCAATCTGCTTTTTTCATGACCATCAATTTGAATGTTCGTATTTTCTAAAATAGCTTCATGGAAGCATATGGAATGTTTGGCCAAATATCTGAGCCATGTTGCCCAGCCAACACAAGAAGAGTGTTTAAAGGCAAACTATCTCTGATGATTCTTTACATGTAGAAATTGAAGATGGAAAACAATAAGAAAGGTAATACAGTCACAGAGAAAGAAAATTTAGTAATAGAGCAAAGTTGACCATGATGGTTACAGTGATTCATATAATTTGATTATGCTTAGTTTGCAGATGCCTTACAAAGAAATCTTTAAGAAAAAAATCTTTAAGGGCAGTCTTTGAAAAGCTACTATGCATATGAGAATGAAACTCAGGAGAGAAGTCTAATCTAAATATATAGACTCTGGGTTCATTGAGTTTTGTTCAAAGATTAAAGTTATTTGTTTGCTAGGGATACACAATAAAATGCCAGATACTGGATAGCTTAAAACAAGACATAGTATCTCACAGATCTGGAGGCTAGAAGTTCAAGATCAAGGTATCAACAGGGTCATATTCCATTGGAAGACATTAAAACAGAATCTGTTACAGGCCTGTATCCTAAGTTTGGGTAGTTCTATCGCTCCTAAAAGCAGATTTTTGGGTGTTCACAAGACACTTTTCCTCTGTGTTTCTCTTCACATGTTGTTCTTCACAGTTTATAGTATAATAGGGACCCCATCTTAACAAGTCACACAGTTCAACATATACAAGATTATATGAGACCACCATTAAAAAAAATACAAATCAGAAGTTCTGAATCTATTTGTTCTCAGACTCTACTTATACTAAAAGTAGTTGAGTAACCCCAAATATTGGGTTTTAGATTGTTCATATTGACATTTTTCATATTAGAATTACAACTGAGACAAATTTTATTTATTTTGCTTTTAAAAGAACAATAATAGACCTATTTCATGTTGAAAATAAATAACATTTTACGAAAGCTAATTTAGTTTCCATAGTGAAAAGGATTAGACTATTCTTGGGGTCAATTTGATAGGTTGAGACGAGAGGATTACCATAAGTTTGTGGCCAGTCTGAGGTACAAAATGATTTCCAAGCCAGCCTAAGCTACAGTGAGATACTGTCTGAAAAAATGATAGCAAAAATTTAAAAGAATTTGTAGGAAGAGGAAGAAAACGCAGTGCCATAACTCTCTTCAGAAATTTACTAAAATAAAAAATGAGTTATTCTCACATTTGCTTTGACATTTAATCTAATATAATATCATTTGTTGTGTTGCTTCTGGAAAAATCCACACTAATAAAAAGTATGAGAGAAAAAACAAAAAACATTCTGAAAATAGTTTTGATCTTACAGATACACTGAAATAATCTTGGACCTCCCCAGGAGTCCCCCATCAAGACTTTGAGAAACTTTTAATGAACAGTAAAAAAAGAACAAGTAATTAGAAATTGAGTCAGTCTGGTATTTATGTTATGATAGTGCTCTCCAAAACCACCCTGTTCCTAGCTGCACCCAAGTATTTATCAATTTTTCATTATTTCCTTGAAAATATACCTGTAAGAGAAAAAAATAAGGAAAGAACCTTTTTAAATTTTTTCTCTAATAATGTATTTTCGTTGATGACCAAGATACGACTAATTAGCACTTCTAGTGTCATTGAAAACACTGTAACTATCCAAATTATTTTTTCCACATATTGTGCTCTTCACTGATGGAGCAGGAAAGATACATATTAAAATAAGATGTATCAGAACTGCAGAGATGGCCCAACAGTTAGGAGTCCATTCTGTTCTTACAGAGAACCTGAGTTCAGATCCCGGCACCCATATCAGATGGCTCATAACTGCTTGTAACTCCAGTTTCAGGGGTCGCCCTCTTCTGGCCTTCATAGCCACTGCACTCATGTGCATAAACTCACACTCAGACATACATATTTACACATAATTTTAAAATGAAATAAGTAAAGATTATTCTTTTTACATTATTCTAAATATATCCATCAAATAGTAAACTTCAACATTAGCGTCTTAATATATTATACATTGTAGTATCATTATACACTTGGAATGTATACATTCATACTTCTGCATAAGTTTCAAAAGGAGATTCCTCTAAGAAAATAAGAATATAGTCTAACTTACAAAAATGAAAAGATGCAGAAAAGAAGAATCTAGTTAGATATCAAGGTACAGCTCAGTGTGCCATGTAAATGTGCATTATAGATTTATCAAAAATACCAAAAGTGTTTAAGGAGATGGAAATGCCAATTCCTCTGATTTGATCATTATGTATTGCATATATGTCTCTAATTATCACACTGTAGCTTGTAAATGTGTACAGTTGAAATAAGAACTGAGGAGTTGTCATCTAGTTCAGTAATAGAAGCCTGGCATAGCATGTGCAAGGCCCTGTGTTCCATTCCCAGTATTACAAAGATAGCTATATTTTTAACTAAAAATGCGTGTACTTCTTTTATTTATTTATTTATTTTTATTGTGTGTGTATTAGCGTTATTCCTACATGTAAGTATGCCTATGTCATGCAGCACCCACAGAGGCCAGAAGGGGGCATCATATTCCCTGGAACTGGAGTTAAGTCCAGTTGTGAGCCACCATGTGGGTTCAGAAAACCAAACCCAGCTCCTCTGCAAGAGCAGCCAGGGCTCTTAACTACTGAGCCATCTCTCCATCCCCCCTCCTTTTTTTGAGACAGGTCTCCCTGTAGACCCAGCTGGCTTGAAACTTGATATATAGACTATGCTGGCCTCTATCTCACAGAGATTCAGCTGCCTCTCTGCCTCCCAATGCTGGGATTAAAGGTGTGTGCCATCATGCTTGGCTTTAAAATGCATGTGCTTTTTAACAGTTTCTATTGCATATTAACTTAGAAAAATGACAAACTCCATTATAAACATAAAACCTCCTATGAACTCACAGAAGTATTAGGTATCCACAGTGAAATATATTTATCATGCAAAATTATATACATTTACTAAAAGTAGAAAAATATTGGAATTTAGTTATTTACAAATAGTAAAGTAAAAGAAACACAAATATTATTTTGGTAATCAAGATGTGACTAACTGAGTTCAGACTTAAGTAAAAACATCACCAAAACAAAGCAGCCAGAAAATTTGACTATTCAAGTTAAAGCTATAAAAGCCAGGATGTGAAGCAAGAGAGATGGCTCAGTGGTTAAGAATGCAAACTACTCTTCCAGAGGACCTGAGTCTAATTCCCAGCACTCATATTGGACATCCCACAGCAACCTGTAACTCCAGCACTGCCCTCACATGTGCAAACTCACAAATAGACATACACATACGCACATAATTAGAAAATAACACTATTTGAAA